CTGGAGATGGCTGCAGTGGCAGAAGGAGACATAGCTCAGGAGCAGAACCCGCACAGAACAAACCCCTTTCTTCTGTGCAGAGGATTCCTGACAGCGGGCTGAGGACAGAAGGGTAGATAGGCCAAGTAATTCCGTAGGAGGCCAGTGGAAGTGGAAAACCTAGGCGACTGGTTCCAGTGTAGCCCACCAGTGAAACCACCACTCTTCATGGTGCAGCTGCGATGGGCGTTTTCCTCCCCACCTCAGCCTCCACTATCCATCCTTCTTGCTTCCCCTAATCCCTGGGTGCTGTGTACCTCCCTCGCATCGGATGGGGGAAGAAGCAGGGGTTCTGCATATCGGCACTGAATGATTTATCCATGGGGGAAAGCTCTGGTTATCGTGAAAGGTTCAGTAAAGAAACCTGGTCCCTGAGCTGAGATCTCTTTGCAACTTGTCTTTTTAGTGAGCAGTGGTGAAGCCCATGTCTCTCACAGCTGGGAAGAGCAGCCAGGGCTCGCCGTCCCGGTCCGCTTCCTCCAGGATTCGGACAGAGGGAGTGCAGCATCTGGATCCTTGTTTGACTGCTTTCCCAGATGGCTCCTTTTGTTCCTGCCCCAGCGGAGCCTCGGGAGGGAGACAGCCCCGTTCCCGGTGCTCAGGGGTCGTACCCCGTTGTCGCGCACGGCCTTTGGGCATCGGGAACCCCCAGCGTGTGGCTACTCGCCTTTGCTGGTTACCAGTCCGGGCTGGTGGTGTCAACCAGGCTCCACTGACCTTGCCGACTGTCCCGCGGGACGACGGGTCTCTCTGGGCCTCCAGCCAGGCGCGCTGGCTGAGGTACCATTGCATGCAGCTGAGCGGGGGGGTCCCGGGGTGGTGGGGGACCTTCCTGGGGTGGCAGGCGCGGGGCTAATTTGCCTTGTCCTTTGTGCCCCAGGTGCTGCTGCTTCTTTAAGAGGAAACGGAAGAAGACGGCTCAGCGTCACAAGTGACCAGTGCCTCCTGGGCCTTGCAGGAACCACCACGCCTGCAGCTCCTGCCCTGTCTCACTGGAAGGGGCTTCTCTTTAGGGGGGAGGAGGAGGCACAGGAGGAAGAGAGAAAAAAAAAAAAAGTGACATTTTAAACCAAAAAGAGAAGAAAACGTTCCAAAACAAACCACTCTGGGGTGGATCTGCTGAACGGTCTCCCTCGTTCACTCCAAGCCTGAAGCTCCTTTTGGGACCAGGACTGTGGCTGGCTCAGGTCTTGGTCGCCCTGGGAGGGGGGCTGGCTGGCTGACCCTCCTTCCCGTTGTTTACGGCGAAGGCATCGTTCACGCAAACCTGAGGACTGTGCTTAGTTCCTGCTCACTTTCCTTCCCTCCCTCCCCTGCGCTCTCTGCTCCTCCGTCCTCCTCCCTCCTTAATTAAGCGATGAAATACCCTAGGCTCGATTGGCTGTCGAGAGGGCGGGAGGATGCGGTGCGGGCAGGAGAGGTGCGTGGGAGAAGGGCCTGACTGCTACAGCAGTAAGAGACAGGTTCCCTTTTCGGCTCCTTGGGAACAGTTACACTGTAATGTGCAAGCTGTGAGAAATTTGCAATCTACTGTTCCAGTTAGGTTTTTTTTCCGGCTCCCTTGACACCTCCCTCCTCCGACGGTAACAGAGCAATGTGGATTGTTTTAAAGAAGCTGACGTCGTTGCACTTTTTATTATTTTTAGCATTTACAGATGCACATTGTATCTGTGGACCTCTGCGTGGCCGGGCGGTGCCAGCGCAGACAGACATTCAGCTGGGAAGACGGTGGGGTGGAAAGAATGCCCTCGAGCGGGGATGTCAAAGACATCCGCGTGACCCTCGTGCCAGTCTGGGGTTCCCCGACGCCCGCCTTGGGCCGTGCGCTGAGGAAAGCATACTTGAATTTTCAATCACCCTTTCTAGCTGCCGGTGAATGTCCCTTCCGTGGTTCCCTA